CCTGCCACCGGGCAAGCTGCAGCCCGGCGTGGCCTCGCCGGCCACGTGCACTGTGGTGGGTAAGGGATTCATCACCAAGCAGACCACCAAGCACGTCCACCACCACTACATCCACCACCACACCGTGCCCAAGACGAAGGAGCAGATCGAAGCGGAGGCGGCTCAGCGGGTGCAGTGCTGCTGCCCGGCGGGCGGCGACTACTACTGCTACCCCAAGTGCAAGGGCCACCCGAAAAGCACGGACCCCCCTCTTCCTCCGCTGGAGCCCTTCGGGTAAGTCATGAGCATCCCCATTGCGCCCACCCCGACCTGTCACCCCACCGTCCCCTTGCAAGGGGGCTGGTGGGGACAGCCCCGCGGCGGCGCAGGGGGGCTGACGGTGGGCTCGTGTCCCCTTCTCGCCATCAGCAGGACGGGGACGCTGCCGAAGAGGCCGGGCAGAGGAGCGGAGAGCGTCGCCCTGCCGGCCGGGGACGGGGGGCTGCCCGGCCCCAGTGGGGTGCAGCTACCGGGGGGCGAGGCGGACCGGGCGCAGAACGTCTGGCAGTGGATGCTGGAGAGCGAGAGACAAAATAAGCACAAGCCCCATAGGTAAATACGCAGCTGTCTACAGCAATATCGCTCCCGGTAAATATTTATATATTACATGGGCTGTCTATTTTTACAATCGCTAAAAACAAATGAGACTCTTTGCTCCTCCGGTTTAATATAAAAGCTGTTCCGCAGAACCAGAAAAACCACAAAAATGTCATGTTTTTGGCAATAAACCTCCTTTCATGTTATGACAGACTTTTGAGAGGGAGCGAGCAGAATAGGAGCTGCTATTAAAGTCATATTTTCCAGCTTTTCTAACCCGACTTCTTCCCCTCCCCAAGCACACAAAGCACAAAGAAGGCCTACAGCTCCGACTTCGCCAAGGGGGCCCCCGGCCGCCACCACCCGTGGGGGACCGGCAGCCACCCGCGCGGGGCGCAGCCCGCCCACCCCTTCGTCCAGGACCCCGCCATGCCCCCGCTCACCCCACCCAACACCCTGGCGCAGCTGGAGGAAGCGTGCCGCCGGCTCGCTGAGGTCTCCAAACCGCAGAAGACACGGTAACGGCAGCGGGGAGGGATGGTGCGGGTCCGGCGGTGGGGTCCGGGGAGCGGCAGGGGGGGGAGAGGTTTGCTGGAGGCTGGTTGAGGTCGTCTTCGGACCAACGCTGGGGCTGACGGCGCGCAAGGCGGTGGGTGAACGTGGACGGTGTCTTCCCCATCTAGGTAGAGGGTCAGCCACGGGGCTGGACCGTGGTGACGCGTGACGGCACGGCTTGGCCGAGCCCCAAGGATGAGCCTCCTTATTCCAACCCCACCCTACCCCAGCACAAATAGTTTGAATCCTAGACTATTACTTCCACTCTTTTGATGGCTGTAATTTGCCCGTTTTTCCTCTGGGACGGACTCCAGCTACATACCAAGTGGAGAATTGGACTGGTTATCGTTCATTTGGGTATGGAAGGATAAATTAGCCCACAGCATTTTTAATTCTTCCTTTGATTGTTTACAACATGTGAGGGTTGATACAAAGAGCGAACTTAACGACCCACAGGAGACTTCAATTAAGAAGATTGTATTTCAACAATTTTTTTTTAAAGTTTTTTTTTTTCCTCTCTTTTTTTTTTCCCCCCTTCTTCCCCACTTGCCCTCCCCCTCTCCACTTCAGATGTTCAACCTCAAATCAGCAGAGGGATCGAAACCACTCCGCTGCCGTTCAGGGGGGAAACTCCCCTTTCTGCAATGCAAGTCTAACGACAGAAGAGTGAGTATTGCACGCGTGGAAAAGGATTGGGAAATACATACATATCATAATTATATTTTCATTAAATGGATTGCGCTTTGAAAAGAGAGGAAATTCTTATATCTGAAATTTTGTCTTTCAAACATTCTTCTTAAAGCAAGAACAAAACATTTTCAAATCTTGTCTCTGGCTCTTTTTAACTTGCATTCCTGTAAAGTGGACAAAGATTGGATTAGTCTAATTACAGGATGGTTCTTTTAACAAGAAATCTGCTAGAGAGAGGTCTAAAATGGCCTAAATAATTAAAGTTTTCTTTCTTACCCTCTTCATCTTAAGCAATGAGTAATGTTTGAAGTCCAGACTGAGCCACCTGACTAGAGCCTTTCATTTTTAATTGGTTGACCTTAAGTCCACCAGCTGTCTTTGCTAGCAGCTTTTTTTCTGAAGCCACTCTACAAAGACTTAGAACAAATTAGGAAGACTAAATTACTGCGGACTAACACTTTGTGACCTTTTGACATGCCAAGTGTACATTGCCTCAGAAGCAGTTGTAGATTTGGCTGCATGGTACTCGCTGGAGCGTTGCCATTTTGCTGGGTAATATTGTTTTAATTATTCTTTAAGAAGGGTTCCTTAGTGCAAACGACAAGACCCAGTTCATTTTATCCTCACCAGGGAAAAATAAGATTACCTGTGTGCTTCAGGTGCAGAACCTGGCGGTGGTTTTGCTTTGTTAGCTGGTGGTGGTTGCAGGTGGTTTTGTGCATGAGAAGAAAGCTTGGCAGATGCTGTGTACGAAGGCAGACGAAACGAGCCTTTTAAAACCAGAGATGTGCAATACCGGGGCTGGCTGGGTAGAGATTAGCCCGTGGTGAGCCCTACGCTCACTCCCCTGGCCCATGGTCCTCTTCCAATGCCTCCAGCAAGCATCTAACCTCCATCCCTCCGTTCTCCCATCTGTAGGGTGGGATGAGGTCCCTGCTGCCCCGCGGCTGAGCGCTCTGCGCTGCCGCCCTTCCCACCGCCGCAGCGAGCGGGAGCTGTTGCGGGAGCCCAGCGAAGGGCTGTGCGAACACAGCGTGACAAATTCGTGGCCAGTACGGGAATATCTGACTTTTTTGGGTCACACCCAGCATATTTCTGACCAGCGTCACGTGTAGCGGAAACACTGCCGGATTGAGTGCGGTGAAACGGCTTGTTCTCAAATGGAAAAATAGAGGGGTTTGTGTGTGTGTTTTCTGTTTTTCAGTCACAAAGAGCCAAAGAAACTGCCAGTTGTTCACACCTCTCAGTCGAGCGAGTTGGTTGTCACCTATTTTTTTTGCGGCGAAGAAATTCCCTACAGGAGGATGTTAAAGGCCCAGAGCCTGACACTTGGGCACTTTAAAGAACAGCTGAGCAAAAAGGGAAATTACAGGTAAGAATCTGTGATTTGTTTGTTCTTTAGTATATTCTAATAAGTCAAAAGAATAAGCAGATATTTTGCAGGTCTGCCTGCAATAACACGTTTACCTCGCTTTCCAGAGGCTGTAGGTCATCTTCTCTTCCCACTCAAACTAAGAGCCACTTGGAGATGGAGAAAGGGCCCCTGAGCTGCAGCTTGGCTGCAGAGCCACCTCCTCTCCATCTCCCTCCCCAGCCTCCTCCCCCCGTTGCACATGGATGCAGGCTGGCAGGCTTCGTGCTCCAACCCTTGTCCAAAAAGCTTGAATACCAGGAAAAGCTGGGATGGCCTTGCGGCAATGGCACGGAGCAGTGGGGTTCGGTTTCCAAACTGGGCTCAGTATTCATCTTGGTTCTGGCCTCCTGCTTTGCCTACTCATTTAATTTCTTCATTTTTAATTGTGGGGTTTTTTTCTTTTTTGCAATGGTGTGACCATGAATGTGGTCGGTGAAGTCCTGGGATGTTGCATGTGAGTGGATGTATAGCTGAGATGCAGCGAGCTCACTTTTCTCTTCGTTAGGGAAAAAAACCCTCTGCCCTGCAGGGAAAGCTCCACCAGCGATACCGAGTTCCTCCTCAGAAACGCCAACAAACCCTGCCTGTCTGGTTTCCAGGGCCAAGCTCCCAGTTTAACCAGTTTGCTACTTCTAGTTCCCATGGCAGTAGCTTCACATTGGCTATTTTTGCTCTACGTTCCCGGTGGATCTGGGCGCTGGTGAGATCATCTGTTGGCCACTTTTGCAGGGTGAGCAGGAGAGGGACGCTCCAGTGTTAAGCGTTGAATTTGCACTGAGTTTGGTGCTTCTTCAAAGAGCCAGAAGGTTTGCCCTGGAACTGGCAGCCTCTGATTTACCCTCCAAATGGCCGTTTGGGTTTGGTACAAGGACTTTTCCAGCTGGTGCTCCATCACTGGCGTGTCTTTAGCTTTGGAAGGTCCACCTGTGCAGATCAGAGGTGGGGCACCCGAGGGTGCTGTCAGGTTGGGGGATGCCGAGCTGGGGTTCGGCTGTGGCTGTTTCACGGTGGGGCTGGCGCTGGAATACTGCCAATCCGTCCCCAAAAACCATCTTTGCAGCCCGCCCAGCTGCCGTCAGATGGCAGCAACCTGCAAGTACACCCAACCTGGCCAACCTCCAGGAGAGGTCCTTGGGCTTCTTGCACCCATGCGCCATTTTCAGTCCCTAAAGCCTCTTCTGGCCTGCCGCGCTCCTCCTCCAGCTGATGCAGCCTCATGCCCCAGTTGCAGACCAGTTTCCCTCGCTTCATCACTGGTCTGCCAGTGGCTGTGTAGTCCCACCCCCCTAAAAAAAACCCACCTTTTTTTTTTCTTGTTTGCTTTCTATGACAATTTTATGTGATGCCCGAGTACAGGAGTAGGCTCCTAAAACCTCTGTGGCCTGAAAGTCCCTCCAGGTGCAATTATTTGTGCCTTGTCAGACTGTAATTACTTTGGAAAATGTTTTTAAGTGACTGACAAGGATGAAACAACGTTTTGCTTAGATCTCACCCCTTTACACCTGGGTAAAGACAATACAGAAATTTATAAAAGGAACTTGGGTACGTGCCCAGTATTTTATCTTGCACAGACACAAGGTGAAACTAATTACACAAATGTGTGTACCTCCAGGGAATCATTTTGATCTAAGCTTTGACTTTTGGCTGGACTTTGAGTGAAACTGCGGGTGACCTTCAGGGAAGAGGTCCGCAGTGCCCGGAGTAGCGTGTGTGTTACGGGGAGGCACTAACTAGGCTGCTTTGGTCACATCTGGCATTGATTTCTTTTTAAGGCACATTTAATAAGCATGTCTTTGAAGCCCTTGCCTTTCATTTAATGCACAAAGACATGCAGAAATGCTCCGCTCTCCAAATTCTTTATTGATTGGATCAGTTTGCGAGGCGGGTACCTCGGGCTCCCGCGATGCCAGAGCCCCCCCCCCTCCCCGCCTCCCACCCCCACCTCCCCAAAAAAAGAGAAGGAATTAAGCAGTGATTTAATACTGATGGCGTTAACAAAAAACAAACATACACGCACAAAAAAACTGGGTGGTGTCGGGTAATCTGAAGATGGCAGCGGTTCAAAACAGAGCTGTAACGCCAGGCCTGCTCGCCTCGATTGGTGCCAGATGTCCCAAAAAATTAAAAAAAAAAAAAAAAGAGCAAAGCTTGCCACATAAAATATGTTTCAATGGAAAGCCCATTGCTGAGCAAATAAGAGCAGAGTGACTTGTTTGAAGACGTTGTAGGGGAGGATTTCTTTTTTTTTTTTGCTTTGCCTCCTCTTTTTTTATTTGTTCTCCCCCTTTTTCTCTGTGAAATAAGGTTGTAATTATGTAAAAGGTCATAGCGTGTTTTCTCCAATAAAAATTTTGTAAACACAGCCAGCGCTTGGGCTTGTGGAGGAAGTTATTGGGAAGAG